CCAGACGGCCCTTATCAGGAGCCACAGGAAAGGTGCCAGGTTTAATCTCAAGACCACACCCGGAATCAACGGTTTAGAGACTTCAAGCAACTGCTGCCGCCTCCCCACCCCAGCACCCAGGGCCTGGGGCTCTGTGCCTGGAGGTACGACAGAGGGGGGCGGGGGTGTGGGCCAGGGAGGGGCTTCTTTAGAGAGGGGCATGAACCTTGGGCTTCATCCCCCAGGATGGACAGGTACCTGGGAAGGCAAGCGGCCTCAGGCCCAGGGATAAGAAGGCGCAGCCCAGTAGACGGGGTGGGGGTGTGTGTGGTGGGGAGCTTCACACAGTAACCGGGAAACCTGTAGCTGGGGCACCGACGCCCACTAAGTGGGATCTGGGCTTAGGGGGCCCACACTTTCAGCTGGGCAAGGCAGCAGGGCTTCCCAGAGGCCTTGAGGACAGGCCTTGGGGGATGGGCAGAATTTGACAGATGCACGGGGAAGCCAATGGACAGGACCCAGGTACAGCGCCACACTAGCAAAGGCTTCGGGCAGCGAGGGACTCTCCGGGGAGCGCTGCTGTGGTGGGGGTGGGTGGAGCTGGAGGAGCGATGAGGGGATTGAGAGGCACGTTGGCATCACACCCCCCCACAATGTCCCTCCCCAATCAGATATCAGATATATTCCCTTCGGCCCCAAGACCATCTAGTGGTCTGGTCTCCAAGAGAACCCTGTGAAGGAGAAATTTCCCAGGAGGACTCTTAACGAAGGGTTACTATCTGGGCCTCGTTTTCCCCATCTGTAGAGAAAGAAGGCCTTCAGTGACTCTCGAGTGCATAGGATGGGTGTTTACCGGGAACCGGGCAATCATGGATGGAAGGAGGGGTGGGAACGGCCGAACTCGGGCTTCCACAGTCACCGGGCGCCCAAGTGCCCAACCAGTGGGCTCTGCTCCCTCGCTTTTGCGCAGCAGGTCTGGCAGGGTGCTGCCGGGACCCTGGGGCAGCCGGCCTGCTCACTCGCCCGCCCACCTGTGCACCCACCTCTCTTCTGCGTTAAGCAATCTCCATATTGCAAATGCCTGGCATTTTTGCCTTGTAGTTCCAGCCCCCGCAGCCCCATGAGGATTAGGGCATGAACAGGGAGGAGGGAGGGCTCTGGTGGGGGGAGGGAAGTACTTGCAAAGAGACTTGGCAGTCTGAGTGCCTCCTGCAAGTTTCAGGATCCCAGAAGGGCTTGGGAGCCCGCGAGGAGGGTCCATGGAGCCTCTGGGAGCAAAGGTCATGAGCATCTGTCACCTCCCTGCCCCCCTCACCTGTCACTCACACTGCCAGCCCTGGGAGCACCTAGGAGCCCCTCCATGGGCCCCCTGCCTCTGCCCCATGCCACTCCCCTGCCAGGGATGGAGGCCGTAGCAGAGCTCTGAGCAGTCCTCGGGTGCGGGGCAAACATCCCAGCCCCCCACCTGCCGTCTGCCTCCTCTCCTAACCTTCCGGGGCTCCCACTCACGGGTCACCCCCCATGAGACCTAAGACCTGGACATTCCGTCTGTCAGCTCTCAGCATTCCTCTCACCTGCAAAGATCTTCCATCCAATTCTCCACGTGTCAAAACCCGGCCCATCCGTCCAGGCCCAGGTGAGAGGCCACCACCTCGGAGGAGCCTCCCCGAGCCCCCTGGAAACATTAAGAGCAAACTCTCATTGAGTCCTCGTGAAGGTCCAGCCCTGCTCCATGCGCTTCACAAGGTACGGACCCGCAGAACCCCCATTCCAGCTCTGTGAAGTGGTCACTTTGCAGATGAGGAAGCTGAGGCCTGGGGAGCTTGTCTGCGCTCAGGCCACACAGGCAGAAAGCAGTGGGTCAGCACCAAGCCCAGGCCCTCTGGTCCCGCTGCAGCCTCTCCGAAGCGACACCTCCCTGCACGTGCCTCTTCAGCGTTTCCTCCTGGGGAACCGACATCTGCGTTTCCCACAGCTGCCCCTCAGCACCACAAGCTCTGGGGCAGAGCCCCTCAAACTTTACTCTGATTCCCCCGAGTTTTGTTAACAGGCAGCTTCTGAGTCAGCAGGTCTGGCTGGGCTGGGGCCTGAGGTTCTGTGTTGCTAAGCTCTCAGGCGCCGTGGACACTGCTGCTCTGCAGCCCACACGCTGAGTCGAGGGGCTCAGGCCTGACCCGGGCAGGGGAAGCCTCGCGCTGCCGTGGCTTGCTTAGCGGGGCCCAGGGCCCCTGGGAGCCCCGCACAGGTCGGCCCTTCTGCTCTGCTGCTCCTCCCGGGAGGCTGGGCCCCTGCGGTCCCTCTTCTCTTCCTGACTTCCCTTCCGGCTCAGACACAAGGACCCTGGGAGGCAGTCAGGTGGGACCTAGACACACCCCTGCCTTAGGGTATCCCTGACACCCCTCGAAGCCCAGGCCCTGCTCTGGCTCCCTGGGAAGTCTTACAGTTCTGGAACCTGCTCTTACCTGCACAGTCACCACATAGAACTTACAGAGTGGTGCAAATGGTTCTGCCAGCATTGGTCCATCACAACCTCTGGGCATGGGACAAGATGGGACAAGGTGAAGAAAGAGCTGGGCTGGCCATGGGAGGGGCCAGGAGCCAGCGAGGCCTTGGAGAGAGGCGTGAGGGTGTGGAGGGTGCCTTTCCCCCGCGCGAAGGGCGAGCAGGGGTGTGTCTCCTCAAGTCCAGGTAGGGAGGCTTCTAGAAAACTGCATGCCCTGTGCGTCCCGCAGAGAGATCCCAGTGATGGGAGGTCCCCCGGAAGAGCTTTCCATTGATGGGAGCATGAAGAGTCACCACCGGACTGTCCTCCTGCTCACACTGCCCTGCAAGCAGTGGAACGGACCTGCTCCTTCACCCAGAGACCAAGAAATGAACAGTGGAGAAAAAAGACTCCCATGGGAGGTTAGAGTAGGAAAGGTTAAGCCTACTCACTTCCTACTGCGGTCTGCTTGTTCAACGGGCCAGACCCCAGAGACGGGGGCCAAGTTCAGGCTCTGCCCTTGGGAGGCCACTCACCTCTATGGCATGGTTGGCTCTTAACCTTGAAGGAAAAGGGGATATTATTCCAAGTTCAAGGCCATTAGGAAGGCCTAAGGATCCACTCCTCACACCCCTGTACACAAAGATTTAAATATAATCGGGGAGGGGGGTGTTATGGACCTCTGAAGCTTACCAACCACCTCCCGAGAACACTTTGCACCCCAGATGGAGAACACCCACGAGCAACACCACACGGGCCTGTATTTCATCCCTGCAGGCTCTGCCCAGCACTGTGGGTTCTTTCCAGCTTCTGGCCTGGGAGGGCGTGGTGCTAGGCTTTGCTCATCTTCCCTTCCAGAGAATTCCAGGCAAAGGGCGTCGAACTGTACGTGTACCTGTGTCTCAGCTTCCGGAAAAGTGCTTTTATAAATTGTTGGAACTGGTCTTCTCAAACAGCGCCGGGAATATTTTGATTTCTCCAGCCCTGCCAAGGGGACCTGGTCAAGAGGTTAAGCGAGTTTCATTGAAAAGACAGCTTTCCTTCCAGGCTGATAAACAAGGCTGCTGCAAGGAAACCACCTTCCTCGCCGGTTACTCAGCTGGAGTGGCCTGTCCCTGGCCAAGGAAAACAAATGCATAAACATTTCGGGGACATATAGGAAGCAGTTCTGCGGGACGCCTGCTGTGAATGGCCACTGGAGTTTACATAGCGAACCCCACTGGGGCCTCCGCACAGCCTGGACAAAGTGCGCCCTGCCCCCTCACTTCCCTCCGGGCTCCTCCCGGCCCGGCTCCGAAGACTGGCAGGCGGTCCCAGCTCAGGCACAGTCCCCGAGAGCACAAAACAAGCTCTTTAGCTGGCACCACCAAAGGCCAGTGTTGCCCCCAGCATGCCTTGCACTTACAGAGAAGGGGTCTCCTGTAGCCAGCAAGGCCGAGGGGACACAGCTCCTGAGTGGCTTGCACCCTGAGCCCTGGGGGCCACACGGAGGCCCGGGACCAGCTATCATCCTGTGTGCACAGCCCTCTGTGGCCTCTTCGCGGGCCGGGGGGAATCTTGTGTTTGGTTGCCTCGTGTAAGCACCCACCTCTGCAGACACAGCTCAGAGCCCCAGCCCAAGCACTCAGTGGGTTCAGCAGGGACGGCGTGGGACCGCGGCTCCTGAGGGCCCTGCCCCTGGGCGCTGCCCCTGTCCTGGTGTCGGGAGCCACTGCACTAGGTCCTCCACTTCAGCTTGGACACCACTCTCTGGTCTTTCTTACCAGCCTCCCACTGCGAGTCTACACCTCCTCACCTTCCCTTCTGAAAGCGGCAGGATCAGAATTAACGGGATGAAGGAGACTTCACCTGTACGGTTTTCCCTCCGTGAGGGACTGTTCTTCCCACGCCCACTCTTCTGTCCTGGCTCTGGGACGCGAGGGTCTCCACACACTGCCCACACCCGCTTTCAGCCAGTTTTCTGCACACGCCCCACCACAGACGCCTGGGGGCCCCACTGCCGACGCGTAGGGGCCACACCCAGTCCCGGCTGTTCGCCCCCATCTGGCTGCCCTCTGAGGCCCAGAGGCCTCTCCTGAGAAGGTTCTTTGCCCCACGTCCCCTTGGCCAGGCCCAGCCTGCCGCCCAGGCCCACAAGGCTATGCTCTGGGGGCCGCGCAGAAACCTGGGTCTGCCTGAGACGGGCTCCCCGGGCGCCCGAGTCGCTCCTGGTCAGCGCAGCGTAGGAAACACAGTGCCTTACGCCTGAGTCTCATCAGTAGAAGTCAGGCCAACTGGAAGTCCAGCTGGGAGCCCCACGAGACCAGAGGCCATCGCTTGCCTGCCAAGGCCCTGCTAGGTGACACCGTAGCCCACAGGTCACTAGGGCTCTAGGGCCCCTCCACCAGGGGCTGTTCCCACCTGAGCCACGGACCTGTCAGACCGGGCACTTTTTTTGCGGCGACAGAACAAGCGAGACTCGGTTCTCACCATGGGTCTCACTCCTGTTTTATAGAAAGCCAGCTACCAGAAGTGACGAGAGACCAGCATCCTGGGCCGACCGTATCAAAGGCTTGGCAAGGGGACGGCCCATCAAGGAGTGAGGGAGGGACACGGGCAAAGGCAGCAGAGGCCACAGCAGCTGGCCGCCATCCTGTCCTTGGCAGTCACAGCTCAGCGGGGAGGGAGCCACACGGCAGCAGCCCCCCGGGCCCTGATCACAGTCCCCGGCAGGCCCTTCACGGAAGGGGCAGAGAGGTTCTGGATGCTTCTGCATCAGTGCAGGCCCAGGTGGCGGCGACACCCTTCCGAGAGACTCGTCCCTGAGGCATGGGGCTCAGCTGTCGCCCCTGGGATGAGCGGTGGAGCCATAGGCCTCGGCCGCAGGAAGGCTCACAGGATGGGTTCTGAGCCGTTCCAGCTCACGGACGCCCCCTTCCACCTAAGGGCAGAAGGACAGAAACAGAGTCAGAGCAGCGGGCCGGGCCCGGGAGCCATCTCACATCCTGGCTCACCGCGAGCGCTCCTCTTGGGGTCTCGGAGGAGTCAGATTCTGCCCTCCCCACCTGGCCCCTCCACACTCACACACAAGCCTACATCCCAGGCACTTACAAAACACAAATGCACCCAAGTGCCCGGAGAGTCATGGAGGGGCAGGTTGTTCATTCAGCGCTTCGAGCCCCAAGTGCTCCCTGAGGACCCCCTTTGTGCCTGGCAGCGTAGGGCCCTCAGCACGTGTGAGTGATCTATGCACATCTGAACCCAGCCACTTTCCAGGGGTGCCTGATGGGGGCACTTTAAAGGCACATGGGAAGACCTAGGTACGAGGGAAAATCCTGGCGTGTTTGAGACACAGGATGAGGTCTGGTTGCTGGGGCCCAGCAAGGCGTGGGGAGAGGCGCGGCAGAGGGTGGGGAGCGGGCAGGGCGGCACCAGGCGGGGCCTGGGAGGCCCCAGGAGGGTTCTGGGCTCTGCTCTGTGAGCCTGGGAAGCTAGTGAAGGGCTGTGTGCCATTCAGTAAAACATGTTAAAGAAAAAAAAAACAACTTTATGACACTCTAGGAAACACTGAGCATAATTAAACTGTAGTCCAGGCTCAGCTACAATTTAATGATAGTTCAATTCCCAAATAAAGCATCAAACTTGAGACCATGACACTTCCCAGCATGTGCATTTAACACGCGGCACTGTTTTCCTAAAACAACTCAGGCGCTCCCACTTCCAGCGGGTGGCATATTCCTACAGAATCCGGCATTGGGTATCTTACACATATACACATGTCCTGAGGTTAAATGGGCTGGGAACAGACCTTACGCACCTCTGGGGCAGTGCTCGGGCGCAGACCTGGTGGCTGGGGTGTAGAGACGCTTTTCAGGGGCCTGGGAAGCGAGGGAGCAGATGTTTCCAAAACCTGAAGTTTTTCTTCAGGACAAAAGTCAAAATGGTAACTGCCACAGAGGAGGAAGAGGCATTTGTCTCACTTTAACTGCACGTGTGCATCAGAAAGTCCAGTAGCCCCGAGAATGGACAGCAACGAGCAGGGAGGGATAGCGTCGCTCAAACTAAGACGGCTGCATGTCCCAACCAGAAGCTTGAAGCACCGAGCATTTTCATCACAAACCCAACATTCCCCCATCTTCGTGAATCACCGAGGACCGCCCCCCCCCGACTGGATTTTTCTCTTTCCTTCCTCCGGCTTCTGCTCTTTGTCTTTCTTCACATCTGTGCCTGGCTCTGGTTGCCACGTCCCTGTCCCTGGCTTTTGGGTTGAGAGGGACCCTCTTCCAGAGGGAGCGGGGCTCACACATATGTCCTGCTCTTCCTGTTTACGGTCCTCTCCTGCCAGACAGCTTCCTGGCATCTGTAAAGGCTGTCTGTTCCCCTGTCGAATATCTTGCATACTTTACACCATTCCATTCCCCCTTCAAGTGAGCAAAAAGACTTCTTGTCAGTTGGAGAAAACAAAGATCTTAGGGGTATTTCTGTGCCTCTTGCTCCCAGAGAAAGGTGTAGTGCAGGAGATATTTGCACATAGCCCGTTTTGGGACAATTAATATTGCATTCCCCTAGCTCCACCCTGGGCATGTGAGGCTAGACCTTCCACAGCCACGGGAGAGTGTCAGGATGCAACGTTTGGCATGGTCTGGACACAAGACACAGCCCGGCCCTATGCCATGCATGCCAATCAACGTCCGAAGGAATCTTTATCTGGTCCATATATGAGCGCTGAGTTGCTTTTCCTTGTTAAAACACTCAGCGAGGAAGGCTGACGTGGGTGAATGGGTAACCTGCTCAGCCATGCATGTCACACTGTGTTAGGGAACTGGTCCTTCCAAACCCAGCTGTGTTCTCTTCAAGGTCATTGGGTAATGCCCTGTGAAACTAGGACATCTCGCCCAAAGTGAGGTTGTGTGGCTCTTTGGCAACTGAGCCTTTCCACCCTGCACGACACGCTGAGTGGTACCATTTCACCACCTGAACCACTTGCTCCCTGGGATCCTTCCGGTCACCAGCGCTCAGAAGCTGGTCTGGGTGTGCAAGCGTTTGCCTACGTTTCTCGAAGAGGCCTTTGCTCGAGAGTGATGGGTGGAAGAGCTACTCAGGAAGACACGTTCCAGGCCTCACCTGTAGCAGGAGATGCAGAACGCACTTGTGCTTGTCCACGGGCCCCGCCTCCCCTGCATCATCGGGACTGTTGTGTGAATCGACGGGGTCAGTGTCACTTATTCCATGGGGTGTGGATGAACCAAGTGATTCTGTGGTGTCTGGGTGCTTTTAGACTTTGTCCCGAGCTGCTCTGTGTCAGCACTAAGGTGGATCTACGGGAATCTACTGGGTATCTCGGGGTGGAGCCACTTCAGTGGGATCCATCAGCACCGTCACGTTGGCCACTGCCTGAGGAAGGGACACTGGGGCTGTATCTGGAGACAGCGTGACATGGCAGGAGAAGTCGGACTGCTCCTACGGTCAGTGCCCACTGCCCGCACTGCCCGGTGCGGGAGCCTGCTGCGGTCCTGGGGCAGCTGTCGTGGGCCTGGCGGGACGGAAGACGGCGCAGCTCTGGCCGGCGCAGCTCTGGCCGGCGCAGCTCTGGCTGGCGCAGCTCTGGCTGGCGCAGCTCTGGCCGGTGCAGCTCAGCAGGTTCTGGAGGTAAGACAGGCTGGGAAGCACGGGACTGGGCACAGGTCCCCAGGGACGAGGCTGGCCCGTTGTGTCTGCTGGGGTAATAGTGCCTCGGCGATCTGCGGCCACACGGTGCAGGGCTTAATGGATTCTGCCATGCAACTTGAGATTTTCCATTTTCTTTCTCTGTTCCTCATCTTTGCAGTCTTGAAGCATGTCATTAAAAAGCTTTTATTATTCTATTAAGATTTGTAGGTAAGCATCAGCCTCTGTGAATTACTTACTGAAGCTTTGGATGCCAGGGACACACCCTAAATCCAGACCCCAGAAAGGCAACCGAAGGGGGGCAGGGAGGAGAGTGCCATTCTGTCTGCGGCCTGGCTCCACGGGCTCAGACGTGCGGAGGGGAAACGACCATCCACACCAGGTGGGTTCTCACCCCGTCATGGCACGAATGAGGGGAAGAGTCATAAATGGGCCAGACTTCTTGTATCCCTTTAAAATCCAACCCCTGCCTGGCCCAAGGCCCTCCCCCACCCCTCCCGCCTTCGTCCTCCTCACTGGGAACAGGCAGGTAGATGGAGGATCCTCCTCTGAGCTCTTGCTCTGAAAGCATCTCAGATCCCGGCAAGATGGCGCCCGGTCTCAGTGCCAGGCAAGTCGGCCCCGCCTGTCACTGCACGAGCAGGTCACTCCAACAGTCACCGAGTCTCACGGCCAGGCCATGGGGTTTACGCTTAGTTTTGAGGGTTTTCACAGACGTAACTAAGCCGCCCCATCCCAGCTAACAGGTGCCAAAGCAGGAAGAGTATTAAAAGTACCAGAAAGAAGCAGTTTGCAATTTATGACAGAAAATCAAAGCAGAGATATTTTAAAAATTGAAAGGACTGAGACATGAAACACATACACTTTCAAAACCATTTCTGCTGGAGAGCCAGCTCTATGAGCCAATGACAAGGACATTAAGAGGAGCTCTGCATGTGCCTTAGGGAGACGGAGAGGGGCGGAATGCACACCCTCCGAGGGGGCACAGCATCTAGGCCCCCCATCCGCCCAGTGTTAACTCGAGAGGAGGCGGAGAGTAAGAGTGGAGCAGCGCTTCTCCACCTCCACACCCTTGCTGTTTGGGGCCATGCTGTCTTGGGCATTGTTGGATAGAGTACCTTCTGCCCCTCTTCTGCCAGCTATGACAACCAAATATGTCCCCAGACATTGCCAAATAGCCCCTGGGACGCAAGATCATCCCGGCTGAGGACTGCTAGTGCTGAGGTCGAGCTCAGTGAAGATGCCACGGCCCTTGGCGCTCAGGCGGCTCTGCACGGCAGAGGCCCGCCTTGTGGCCCCACGTGAGGCCCGTCCCTCTGGGCCCGCCTCCACCCCAGAGTGGCAGGGGTTACCGCCAGCCGACGGCCAGCGCCAATCACACTGATCGCAGGGGCGAAGATGCTGGACAGAGCCTGTGTCGGCAGGGAGGGGGTGGGCCTGGCTCCAGCCTCAAGAGCTGACTGGTAAAAGTGCATCCTGTGCTCCTCTTACTCACGTTGGTTTTCCAGGCAGGAATCCCACGTGCAAGTTTCCTCCCTGGGCCCGAGCAGCCCCACAGGGTGTCTCTTACCAGTGGGCCTGACCTGTGCCCTGCACTCGGTCCCCATCCTTCAGGATCAGGCCCAGGACTCCTGGCAGAAGTGTTCTCTGGCCCTGGGGTCCTTCCTCAACATCGCTGCCACCCTGTCTCTGGCCATATTGTCAGGGGTCTCCCTCTTGACAGACTGCAAGCCCCCGGAGGGTAGAACTGGCCTGTTCACCTCCACCCCCCCCTCGGCCTCTAGCTCGTGCCTGAGTGTGGCGTGGCGCCCAGGGGTGCTGCTGAGTGGACGCTCCCCTCCACACCAGCCGCTCCTCCTGGAGCCCAGAGCCCAGCGGGAAACCCTTGACCTTTGTGCACATGGCCCTATCCCTCTCCTTTCCACCGGGCATCTGCTGCAGCGCCAGGCATCAGAAGGGGGTGGTTGGGCAGGGGGGCCACCCAGGGAACCCGCCCCCACGGGTGACCCTCAGGTGGGCGGGGGACAGCCAGGGGAGCGGGGCACTGGGCTCTGGCCCCGGGAAGGCGGCATGCACAGCTGAAATTACGTTTTCAATCTCTCGTCTGCGCCCCCAGACAGGAACATCTGTGGCCCAGCCGCAGGCCCCGGTTATGAGTCTTTCCTCTTTTTTCTGGACTGTTGACAACGGTTTCATTTTCTCCCGCTCTAGCGAGGCTGGAAGGCTGAGAGAGGTCACTGTGTGTGTCTTGTTGGGAAATGACCCCAAAAGAGCTGGGTTTGCAAGGACGGTTAGAGAAGACTGGGAAGAGGGGGGGTGAGGGGCAGGCCCCCCAAGCCTGACACAAGCGAAGGGAACAGGAGACTCTCGGAGGCGGAGAAGTGCATCACACCAGGCAGTAGGGATGGCACGGCATGGAACCTGGGGATCGGTCAACTTAGGATGCTCTTCTCTGAAGGCAAACCCCAAAGTCTGGTCTTGTGCAATGTCTCCACGGCAACAAAGCCAGGTGGTAGGAAGTCTCAATGCCTGCTCAGTGACCTTCTACTGGGCTGGGAGGGCTGGAGCCTACGCTCCAGGCCGTGTGTTGCTTATGACTAGAGGTGCGGCCTGGGTACAGACCTCCACTCCGGAGAGCCCCGTCTGTAAAAACACGGGCCATGCCTGGTGGTGAACGAGGGCCCTTCTGTGGATCTGAGCAGGAGGCCTGGTGGTCAGGTGCGTGGAGGGTCTGTGCTGGGTCAGGGTGAGCGGCAGAGGGCCTCATGAGGCAAGAGAGCTGGGTGTGAGGGTAAATGGTGCATCTCTCCCTGGACCAGAACAGAGGTGACTCTGAACTTGACTTCCAATCAGCTGTGAACACTCTGAAAGGACCTAAGTCGCATCCCACCGCTGCTTCTGTGGAGTGCAGTCCGGGGCTCCGCAGGGTGCGGTGATGAGGGGGGCCCGCCTGCTCACAGGCTCGTCCTGCGGGGAGCGCTCAGACTCACCTCGGCAGGTGCTCGGGGCCTGGCTGACCTTAGAAAGCTCTGAGCTTGGGCCAAGGCACTGTACGTGCCCCTTCCCGTCAACGCAGGGACTTCCCACAAGAGCAGGATGTATCCCTCAAAAGGCAGGACCATGTCCAGCAGGTCCTCGCTGACCTTGAAGGCCACTTTCCCAAGTTTCTCCCTTTGAACTGTTTGAGAATCTGGGATGAAAGCAACAAGCGAAGCCTTTGTAATCCAACCCCTTGGAACAGGATTCCAGGAGGCTGGGCCCTCTGGTTCCCATTACTGCAGGATGTTATCTGATGGGGACGGAGAGAGGGCCATTCCAGGAATAACGGGAGTAACGCTGGGAAAAGTCTCACAGGTGGACCCTCAGAGTCGGGCAAGAGATGGGGGCGGTGGAGCAGGTGGGCAGCTGGGCCCAGGAAGTCCCCGCAGAGAGGCTGGAGCACCCACACCTGGAGTGCGGGGCAGGCGCCCCGCGGGGCACGTGTGCCGCAGCGGGCCGGGTGCGCCAGAGGCGCTGGTCGTGCCAGACACAGGAGGGTCGGCCCCTCGCGTGGCATCTCATCTCACAAGGCAGCTGGGAGGGGGAGGCACCGCCCTCTTCAGGCCCTGGAAGTGTGGCCCTCAAAGTGTGGGCCAGGGACAGCAGCCCCCGCCCGCAGCGCCTGGGAACGCCTCAGAAAAGCACGTTCTCAGGCCCCTCAGCTGACCTGCTCGGCCAGAACGTCTAGGGGTGAGTGAGCGCCAGCGACCTGAGTTTTGGCACGCCCTCTGGGGAGGCGCGAAAGCCTGAAACCGCGCTCTAGAGCAAATCTTTCCGCTGGGCGAGCCCCAGGCAGACGCCAGGGTTCTGGAACATGGATCCTCCAGCCCCGCACCGGGAGCTGGACGGGGTCTGTGCCAACCAGGGTCCCCCGTCCTGTTGTCCCTAACCCTGGGCACTGCACAAACAGGATTTCCTGTCTGTGACAAGGACTGGGAAGCGCTGCTGGAGGAGGCGCCAGGGCCAGTGTTGCCCACGCCCCCCGCTGACAGTGAGCACGGACGGGGAGGGCAGAGCGGAGCGCCTGCCCCCGGCCGAGGCCCCCGCCCTGATGCGGCTGCCTCCCACGTCCCCTCACTGCTCCTTTCGTGGCACGTGGCCACGGTGGGCAGAGGGAGGGCCTGGGAGAGGCGGACAGCTGCCAGAAGAGGAAGCGGTGCTCCAGGCCCATGGTCACACCCGGATGCGTCCGGACTGAGACCCCTGACAGAGCAGGGCCCCAAGTCACTTTCAAGTGCTTGCCAATCAGAGCTGAGCCCAAGAAGTCCAATCTCCCCGCCCCTGGCAGGTGCCCGTGAATCCAGTGGCAGCAGCTTTCCTGGGGAAAGAGGAGTCGCTGCAGCTGGGACAGCTGGAGAGGTTCGGGGTGGTGGGCCACCCCCAGGAGCAGTGCAAAGACAAATGTACCTTCAGCGAGGGCCCAGGGGTCCAGAGGTGGGCGGAGCCCATGCGCAGGGTGTGGTCCGGAGCCTGCTCTATAAGCCCACCTGCAGGAAGGGTGGCCGGTGGCCTCCCACCCCATCCTGCAGAAGGCGCCAAGGCTGGTGTCACCTCCCTTCCCTGCCGCTCGCCCTTCTCTCATCACTCTGAATGAGTGTCCCCGTGTACATGAAAGGAAAGCGACCTGCACATGCCTTTAATCCTCCTGATGAAAGAGACGCCGGCAAGTGACCCCACAGGAATGCTTCATCCCTGGCCCGGGGGCAGGCCGGCGAGCAGACGGGTGAACGGACGGGGCCCAGTGGCTATGTCTCAACATCACCTGTGTCCTCCCCCAGCGTACGTGGCGCCTTCTTTCTCTCTGCAGTTCCAATCAAGGGCTTGCTTGCCTATGAGTGGGCAGCGCCCCCAGGTTCTCAGCGAGCCCCCTAGATTTCAGAGCTGCAAGGCCTCAGCTGTCACCCACCCCCCAACCCCGATCCTGATGGCTTCACAAACAGGGAAATGGAGGTTCGCCTGATGTCCCACCTACTCATGAGTGGCTGAGACAACAGTAACGAGAGCAGCTTACAGAGCACCCGGCAACGTCCCGGCAGCTGCTGGGTGCTGTGGGCCAGGCACTGCCGTGATCCCCACTTTACAGGTGACAGAGCGAGGTATGGAGGGGTGAAGTCCAGCGGCTCTCAGCCAGAATGGGGCACGGCCAGATCACGCCCAGGCAGCCTGGCTCCGGAACCCACCCTCGTCAGGCCTGCAAGTTGTGCTGCTTCCCCCAGAGAAGGCACTGGAGTCCACGTCCACTCCCTCCCTGGCCTGCTCCTCCCACTGCACCCAGAGGCCTCCGAGTCACCACCCGAAAGCTCAGTGAAGGGCCTGCCTGAGCCTGGGAACTGCCCACAGCTCCGGGCCCACCACCCTCTCTGCCTGGAGTGCTGCCCCAGCCTGGGGCCCCACTGGAGAACTCAGGAGTAAAGTGGGCCCCAGCTCCCCCGGCATCTGGGCGACCCTGCCCCTGGCCTGAGTGTCAGCCTCCCCCTAAATACTGCGGGGCTGGATTAGAGGAGGCAGCCCCAACCCCCGCCCGAGGCTAGGGGATGCCTCCACTCAGGGGGCCCAGCCCGTAGCAGCAAAACGACCAAGGCTGCTCCTCCCCAAAGCAGAGGGTGCTGCTGCTCCAGGAAGCCAGGTGGGCCAGTCCGACCCCCTTCCTGTCCTGCTTAAGACCCCCTACACCCACCCCCAGGTAGCCTCACTGGTCCTTCCTCCTTTGAACCTAACAACACTCCCCACATCGGGTGGCTGCTGCCTTAAGCGAGGGAGGGTCTCAAGAGGCGTCCACCCAGCCCAGCCCCCACCTCAGAGACATCTTCAGAAGCTGTCCCCCCATGCACCACACACTTTTCCCCTTCGACCAGGGTGATCATGAAATACTGCATATGAACAAGACCCAAGCACAGCGTCTGTCCGGGCTGCAGGGGTCCCGCCCCCTCTGAGCCGGGGCCTCTTCCTCCCCGCAGCCCACACCACGGCGCCCCCGGCCACTCAGGCGAGGTTCCACAGCCAGAGGGGCCTGACTCACTTGGTCCTGACGCAGAGCTCGAGGGGCGGGATGAGGTCACCATCTCTGTCCTCAGGCACAGTCTGGGTGGTATCTGGGGAGGCGACAGAGGCGCAGGCTCAGCCCCTGGCCTGAGCTCACCCTGCGGTCCCACTGACAACCCCACTCCTGGGACCCACCTCCCCTGGCGCCTGCTCCTCCTCTCCCTACGGGCCACCCTCGTCCCAGCCCATCGGTTCTCACCCGGATACCACAGAGCCCTCTTTGCTGGCCTCCCACCTCGTCTCCACCCCGCCCTCCTTTCAGCTACCAGAGTAATTCTTTCTAGAAACACACCTGATCCAGAACCCCCCAGGGCTCCCTATTGCCTGGAGAATAAACCCCAGACTTGTTGGCATGGTAGTCCAGGCTCATACACGCACTCAGCCTCTCCTCACTCCATAGTGCCATCAGCTTCTCAGGCCCAGCCCCGGCTCCCCGCTGCAGGAGGACCCCTAGCCCTCATCAGCCCACACCCCACTGTGGACACTTGGTGGGTCTGCACTGCTCTCTGACTGCAGTGCATGGTGTGCCTTATAAGGCCCGTTTCCCAACCGGTCTGGAGGCCCCCAGGGGCTGCAGGGGATGGGGTGGGAGGCGGCGCACCGATGGTCAGCCGGATCTGCTCCTGCTGGTTGGCCAGGCCATCGTAGTAGTACAGGTCAAAGAGCCTCTCGGTCCTCCAGTCTCGCAGGAGCTCGGGCTGCAGGCTGAAGAGGACGCTGAAGTGGCTCTCGCTGCACACCACCCAGATGGGGAACCGCGGGGTTTTCAGGAAGCAGCCGACCTGGACGGGGGGACAAGGACAGGGACTCCTGAGCATCCATCTCCTGGCCAAGCCCGGGGCCGGCCGACTGCAAGGGCCCGTTTGGGGATTGCCACCTGTGTGTGATGCTGGGGCCCCCTCGAGCTGCTCAGACGCAGCCTGCATCCCAGAGCTGTCCCCGCTGGCTCGGCCTGGCACTTGCAGGGTCTCTGCCTCCCAGGCAACGGTGCAGAAGTGCTCCGTCTGAAACCCCACCGCTGTGTGCAGCTGTGCACGGTGCTGCCCGCCTGGCTTCCCAAAGCTCCTGTGTGCCCAGCCTGTCCTGCCCGGACAACAAAGGACCACCTCACAGGCCTCCTCCACCCTTCCTGCCCACCCCACAGCCCACGGCACCTCAACCTGTCCTCAAACTACCCCAGCACGGCAAGCGCCGCGCCTGCGTATCCACAGTCCACGGTCTAGAGGGCTCGCACACTTGCCTTCCCTGCAGGGCCCTGCATCACCAAATCCCCCAACCAAGGAGCATGAATTGCCAACTCCAACACCCCACCTGGAGGCACTGGCCACCCCCGCCTCTGGCGCACCCATCACTGCCTCATGACAACATGCCTGCCCACCACATGTTGGGCTGCACCCTTAGTCCCAAGAGCAGGGTGTATAGTCAACGTCAGCAAACGTTTGATGAACGAAGGTCCTCGTGAGTGAGGTGGGTCAGGAACCAGGCAGGACTTTACCAGGAAGACAAGTGGGACTTGGAGCCACAGGGAGCAGGAAGGAATGGCCTGTAGGTGAGGAGTCAGTGATGACCCCAGGGACCAACGTCCAGAGACATTCAGGGAGCAGCAGGGCATTAGGGAAAGAGAGCAGGGTGGGGGGATGGGCGCGGGGACTTTCCCTAGGTGAGGCACTCCCTTGACCATCCATGGCAGAGGGCCCTGCTGCTCTGACTGCCAGGGAGAGTCCCGATGCCTGGCTGGCCCTGGCCCTCGGCCCGCTCTCTCTCCCTGTCACCTGTGACTCCGATGGGCCGCGCCTTCCCCACCCAGACCCACGTTTATTCAATGAGTACATGCCATGGGCTGGGCCGGGTTGATTCTCTGCTAAATCCCCACCAGCCCTGGGAGATGTTTGCTTGCTCAGGTATTTACAGCCGCAGCCTGTGGATTAAGGAAAGAATGGGAATTATTTTTCCAGTGGGGAGAAGGGCATACTTTCTCCAGGGCCTGTCACAGAAGTGTGGCCGTGCAGCGCCCCGCGGCCCCTCTGAGCCTGGGCTGGGGGAGGGGCTGCGTGCCGAGTGTTCTAAACCAGGTCCCCTGTGCAAGGCTTGCTCACGAACAGCTGCTGCCAGGAGGTGGGAGGGCGACCTTCACAATGTGCTCCTTTTCTCTTTGACCAAGCGCCCGGCCCCCACCTGACCCATCAGGCCCTCACTCCAGCCCCGTGTGACATTCAAACGTGACTGCGGAGCCCGCTCCTCAGTGGGATGTGGGAATTAGGTGTCTTAAAGGACGTGGCTGGACGTGCCTGAACCCCACAGCCAACTTGGCTTCTGTTCCAGGCTCAAAAGAGGCTTTTCTGGCAGGGGAGTCACCTCTGAGAGGGAGCCTCGAAGACTGGGGACCCAGGGCTCATTCACGGCAGGAAAAGGAGCCACACAACCCGCCCAGGAGCAGGCGTCTGCATGATCAGCCACCCTGAATTTTCCAGTGAAGGGACAAAAGGGCAGCTTGCCATTTATACAGCGGTCAGGAGATGAAGGGCAAAAAAAGCTGCCCAGAGAGTTTATAAAGGAGCTTTCTCATTCAGGAGCCTCTTCCAAGTGGGTGACATTTTCCAAAAATGAAGTTCCCTTCCTCGGATTCTGGGGTCGCTGACCAAAGGCCTGGGGCGAGGAGGGGGCGGTGGGCGTGCATTTCCTCCAGCACCGGCTGAGGCTTTCTCCTGGTGGGTGACCACGCAGCACTACTGAGGACTACTTTTTAAAGACGGTTCTTACATCTTGGGGTGGGGGCGGTGCCCCAAACTCATCTGGGGACTGCCAGCTTAGACGCCCTAATGGGAAAGGATCCACATGTGATTGCTGGCAGGGTTAGAGTCTGTCACCTCCAGGGATATCCAGGCAGCGGGGCCTGTACTCTGGTCCCAGGTACCGTGCTCGGCCACAAGGCTATGGCAGCGACGGGATACGAACAGCCTTGTCCTATGGCGCCTACCAGATGAATAGGGAAGGCGGGCAGTAACCGAATGATCCTATGGGTGCATTTCTGCTGCATTTCACTGACTAAGGTGCTGTCAGAGTCGCCATTATTTTTCGAATGGCTGAGAAAGGATGCGAGCTGACCATTCAAGTTGGACCCACCACTGAGTGCCATGATGCACTGAAGTCTCAGGGATGCTCAGCAATGGGGAAAGCTTGCATCTCAAGACCAATGCGACACAACGCTTAGAACCGAGAAGAGGACCACGAAGAAGAAGTGAGATTCTGTGGTGGGAACGGATAGGGGGGCGGGGCCATGAGAGGAGACCCCTGCGTAGACAGTGATGAGGTCAGGGAAGGCCACCCGCAGGCAGTGACCTCAATGCGACAGCAGGAGGAAACGGACAGGTCTCGCGGGGACTTGCAGGTCCTGGGGAGTTCTGGACCCACACACCTGGGGCTGCACCCTGGGGCTGCCAGGACCGGATCCCACAGCCCAGCTGGCTGGGGCCGCAGGCACGTCGTCTCGCTGCTCGGGAGGCTGCAAGCCCCAGACCAGGGTGTCAGAGGGACTGGCTGCCTCTGGGGCCCCTCTCTGCGGCTTGTGGGTGGCAGTCATCTCCCTAGTCTTCCCAGGGCCTTCTCCTCTTCCATGACTCTGTCTCAATCTCCTCTTCTGATAAGAGCACTAGTCACATTGGATTAGAGTGCGCCCAAAGGCCTCACTGTAACTTAATTACTGTATTTTGCCATGTATAATACGCGCCTGAACTTTCAGGGAAAAAAAAAAATCTTTCATTTTAATTTTTTAATTCAGTTATTTATTTATTTATATTTAGGTACTTTTGTGTGTGTTATAAAGGAATTTTAGCATTTATTTTTGAACATACTATGGTACAAGAAATTTTATGTAACAAATAATTATAAAACACAAGAACAGTTACAAGGTACAAGAAATTTTAATTAGTACTACCCATGTATAATGCACATCCTTATTTTTTCCTCAAAAATTTGGGCTAAAAAGGTGCACATTATACATAGCAAAATACGGTACCTCTTTAATGGCCCTATCTCCAAATACGGGCACGTCCTGAGGTGCTGGGAGCTAGGACACGAACATGTCAATTTGGGGCGGGGGCAGGCAGGGGGAATAATTCAGCCTATAACCGTCTCAGAGAGCTGGGCAGCCACTGGCGGGTGGTAAGCAAAGGGATGCTGTGATGTGCCCCACCCTCTGAAGGATCACACTGAAGAGACGGCTGAGAAGAGGGTGGGGACAGCAGCCCAGAGCAGCTCCGCCGTCACAGACGCCTGACCAGCAATGCTGGCGACTCCGACTATGGTGAAACGGATGGGAGACACAACTGAGGGTGGCCCCTGATGGACTGGACGCGCTCCTGGCCTGGGTAACGGGGCGGAGGGCACCACGTGTCGGGGGCGGGGCGTGGAGGAGGGTGGGGCTTGCAGCGCACCTCCCTGCCCAGCTCAGTCTCTGCTCGGACCCCTTCATAGAGGCAGCAATGGACACCCGCCTCGGGCAGGGGAGAAGCACCGAAGTTAAACTCCCTGTCCCGTGAGGTCCTCCCTAGGCCTGCCAGTCCCCCGTCGCCATGACCACCACGAGGAGGTGGCCTCCCAGCTGCTGTCTGCATTGTGGTCCCCCATCGCTGCTGAGCTCTGGGAGGGTGGGAGTCCGACAGGCAAGGCCAGACCAGCGGGGTCACAGGTGGCCGCAGAAGGCCCCGCAGTCCCCAGGCACAGGTGCAAACACCGTCTTGCTGTGGGGGGTGAAACTCCCAGCCTCCAGCCAAGCACACAACAGCAGCCGGGGGAAGGGGGGTGTGGAGTCAAGGATTGGGATCTCTGCAGGGCCTGCATTTCTTCAATCAGCATTTCATTCCAAGGGAAGGATGGCCCTCCCTGCACCCACCCCCACCCCTCACCCGATATTCTCATCAATGACCCTCAGCAGACCTAAGGAAAATAGTTTACTTGTTGACCAACGCCCTCAACACAGGAATGAAACCGGGGCTCACGGTGAGTAAGCCTGGGGATTCCGCGAGCGCCGCCAAGGCTACCCTCTCGGCCTGTGGAATCCGAGCTGCATGTTTCCAGAGCCCACCCAAGGTCTGATGCTTGGGGCCCTGGTGCTTCTCACAGGCCACGTGGCCACATTCCTGGGCTCCCTCCAAACACCAGCAGATCTGGGAAGGAGCCACTATCACTCTTTTCCGCTCAAGTGTTTGGAAGCCAAGTCTGCCTCCTGTCCATGGGGGCAGGGGCGGTCCAGAGAGGACACCTGGGGATGGGGCCGCAGCACGTGGCCCATGAGCGACGGGATGGCACACCGGAGCATGTGACCATGCGGGAGGGGCATGGTGAAACAGCCCTACCTTAAAATGCCGGGCTCCAACCAGTCTGCCAATCCAGTGGCCTAGCACCCTCTGGGTGTCCCCTTGGGTCACTGCGTCCCTGGTTCTGGGGATATACAGTGAATGAGGCCTCACCCAGACCCTCCGAGGACCTTTGCAGGGCAGCCACCAGGCAAAGAGCTCCTGTCGCCCTTCTCAGGACAGCGCTCACCACGCAGCCGTCCAGAGAACAATATTGTCCCAGAATCCGTGAGAACCACGGCTCCGAGGAGGACCCGCAGCAGGCTGGGGCAAGGACGCAGGGCCCGGCGCTCCCTGCCCACGCTGCCGAGAGGCACAGTCACAGTGCCCCCCGGCCCAGCTCCCCTGGGGGCCCAGCCCCATCCGAAGCGCTGGCTGCAGTGAGCCGCGGCGGGGGCGCCGATGCTCTAGCGAACAGCCAGAGGGAGGCCTGCTCTGGGTAGGGCTGTACCTCCCAGAAAGATGTGTCGGAGTCCTAGCCCCCGGCGCATCGGAATGTGACCATGTTTGGAAATAGGGCTGTTTCAGATGTAACAGTTACGGGGAGGTTAGTGGAGTAGGGTGGGCCCTTAATCCAACATGAACTGACATCCTTACAAGAACAGGACAAGACACAGAGGGAGAAGACGGCCACGTGAAGACGGAGGCGGGGACCGGGGTGATGTGGCAGTGAGCCAAGGAACGCCAAGCATGGCTGGCAAACACCAGAAGCTAGCAGGGACGGGGAAGGCCGCTCCCTGCGGGTTCTGAGGGAGCCAAGGCCTCAGCGACACCTTGACCTTGGACTTCTGCCGGGAGAACCCGGGCTCTTGAAGTGTGAGATAATACATTCCTGTTGTTTTCAGACACCTGTTGATAGTGCTTTGCTGCAGTAGCCCTAGGACACTAATACAAGGCCTGTAGCTCCAGGTCACCTGTCCCCAGAGAAGACACCCCGCCACACACACAACCCCCACACACACATGACAGTGGCAGCCACACTCTGACCCACAACCACACGATAAGCCCTGAGCAGTCCCTTTCAAACAGCCTTTCCCAGAACATGGTATCAGCCGGCTCCAGGTATGAATCTAGCACCTAGTACCCACTGGCAGTGAATCTACGCTTCTTCCCAGGCCCTCTGTGAGCGAGGCTGGCCCCGGGTTCCCCCAGCCCTCCTTGCCCACCCTCAGCCCCAGGCAGCCAGGCTCCCGAGTCTCGGGACACCTGTGCCCCTGGTACCTGGCACACGTTGTAGTGCTCAAAGAGCGAGAGGAAGCCAATGTCGCTGCGGGCAGCAATGCCTTTGAGGAGCGTGACGTTCCCATCCCCGGAATCCAGCTCCACCACGTCATTGAAAACATTGGACACGGCTCTCCCGGTCAGGAGCAGATTGACAAGTTCCTGTTGATGAGACAAATGGGAACGGCTGGTCAAGGCACGCTGGGGCACGAGGAAGAAAGGGCGGAGAAGGAAGGAAAGCCCGGAGGGAGGGCGACCAAGATCAGAGGGGCTTTGACTTCAGCGATCCCACAAGCCCTCGGGAAAAGCTGCCAACTCTTCTCTCCAAAGCCACCTTGGGCACACATCAACCTTTACCCCGAGAGCGTTCATCAAGCACAACTGTGCACAAGGCCCTGGCGCAGGTGGGGGTCCCACCGGAGGGAAAGATGGTTCCTGACCTTGGCCATTGGGGTCACAGTGGGGGCTCCGGCATGTGCCCGCACAATAATACAGCCTGTGCCCAGGACGTCAAACTGGGGCACAGAGCACTCCGGAGCCCAGGCGGATACGAGACCACGTGACTGGACCGAGCAACTTGTGGAGAAGTGACATTTGGGTGGGTCTTGAAGGAGGGTGATTTCTTTAATAACCTATTTTATTTTGAAATAATTTTAGACTTAAAAGCAGTTGTAAGAATAGTACAGAGAATTCCTGTGTACCCTTCACCCAGCTTCCCTCAGTGATAACATCTTACATAACCGGAGCACATTTACATAACCAGAGCACATTAGCAACACCAGGAAACGGTGGTGCGGTGCCTGTAACTCGGTCCCCAGCCTTGTTCAGATCTCACGGAGGATGGCGGGGTCCTCAGGAAGGGAGGGGCAGTGGAGGGCGGTGGCAGCAGCAGGGAGGTGGAGGCAGGGAAGCCCCCATCTCGGTCCCAGCTCTGTCTCTGCCCTCGTCAGCTGCGTAGGATCGGGGTTCAGGGGTCACTGATTTCTGTCTCAGGCCCGACAGGTCAACAAGCCTGCTGACCCCCGAGATAGGAGATGGTGTACCGGGGTGACTGGAAGGGCCCTTTGTCATGCAGAGTATCTTAGGGGTCCCACCTCCTGTTAGGAAGGGGGAAACTGAGGCTCACAGATGGGAAAGGATTTGCCCAAGCCACACAGCTGGTTAGGGACAGAGCTGGACTTCTAACCATGGGTTCTGGCTCCCTGTCCAAAGTCCCTTCCCTCCCCACTTGTCACCCTCAAGGTACCGCCTGGTTGGCCAAACATTCAAGACAAAGAGCGACTGCCAAGTGCCTGCTGACTGCCGGGGAAAGATCCAAGTGAGCCCTGGCTTGGAGCCTGGTGGCCAGGACCCTTGCCCAGCCCACCTCCTGCCGGGCCTGGCGCGAGCATGCGGCCCACAGGCAGGGAGCTCACACGGGCGTGGGAACGGCCATCCCAGCCTTTCCTCTAGAGGGCGAAGTTCACAGAAGTATTTCCCCTGGATGGTGAGAGTGACGCCTGGTTTCCAATTCCCTCTGCCACCAAGACCCCTGCTGAAAGTGGCTCCACTCTGGCCGCAGAGGGAGACGTCGCGGGTCCTCACGGAGGAGGCGAGGAGGGCTCTGTGGGAAGCGGTGGCTCAGGGACACTGCCCCGGGGGGGAGGGGTCAGCGGCTGCCAGAGTGGCTCGCCTTCATCAGACGGTTGCCCTTCCCACCTGGTGTCCAAGGGAAAGGACAGCCTGCCCCCGTCCCACGCCTTCCTCGGAGCAGGACGCCTTCTTGAAATGGGGAGAAGGAACAGCAGGCTGTGCCTGCCCCAACTCGGTCACAAGGTGGCAAAGCCCAGGGGTCACCCCATCCCTTGTTACTCCAAGTGTGGCCTGTGGACCAGCAGCTCCGCCCTCCCTGGGGAGCCTGTGAGAAACGCAGACTCTCGGGCTCCAGCCCAGCCCCCTGAACCTGAGCCTGCTCGTCAGTGAGACCCCCGAGGGTTTGTGTCACATCTGAGTTTGAAGAGCACTGGCCTGGTCCAAACTCATTCCACAAATGAGGAAGCTGGGTCTCAGGGAGGGGAAGGCAATCACCCCAGCCCCGTCCGCAAGTGAAGCAGCCAACACGGCTCAGAGCCCAGCTGGAGCTCGGGTCCGGCACCCTCTTCACCGGCTCAGCTGCCCGCCTGGGCTGAGCTGCTCTCTGCCTGCCGAGGGGTGGCTCCCATGGGGAAGTCGGGCACCCAGAGAGGGGCGGGACCGCCTAGGCAGCCAGGGAAGCCTGAGGCCTTGCTCCAGGAAGGTGGGCAGCCACCGCCCCACAGTCCCTCGCCCGGTGGCCCCACATGGTGCCCAGGCACTTTTAGGGCTGGCACAGTGAGCCAGGACGAGGATGGCCGGGTCATCAGCTGGGCCCAGCCTGTCTGTGCTACACGTGAGGGTTGGCTTTAACTGCGATGCCCTGGCCACTCTGTGAGGCCGGGCCACGCACAGAAGCCAGATACAGCACTTAGCTGCCAGTCCTGATGCTCACTGATGGGCTCCTCGACAGGTCCTTTCCTTGGTGTTACCAGGACGGGGAGGGTCGATGACAAACAGTTGGGCTCAGCGTCCCCGGTCCCTGCTTGAGGCCCCTAAGAACCCCTCTGTGAAAATGCAGAGGGCAGGGCTGCTATGAAGACCCCGCCCTGTGCAAATGTAGGGGGGCCATGGCGGTCACCTCCCCCACTGCCCCTGAACCTCCCAAGTCTCAGCCACCAGCCTCCTCTGGCAGCGGCTGCAGGGAAGCCGCCTGGCGAGGGCTGGCAGGGCAGAGGAAGAAACGAAGAGGATGGCGAGAAGCAGCGGCTGCCCCCTAACCTGGGTACAGTAGCTGTGAGCTCCAATCAGGTGGCCGGTGGGGACGTCGAAGTCCTGGCGGACGCTGGAAGACACGGAAAAAGTGGTGTGAGCACGTCTCTGTCTGACCCGGGCCATGGGGCAAGTGTCACTGGGGGGCCCCGGCTCCCACGGGGTCCGCTGCAGCCCTCTGCTTGGGGCCCTCCCTTGGGGCTGGCGCCCAGGGCTCCTCGCATCCCCCGCACTCTCTCTAAGCAACGGCCTCCACTCTGGCCCCACCAGGCCTTCTGCCAACGCAGCAGAAAAGCTCCTGGGTTTGGAATCTAACATCCTGCCTTCACATCCCAACTGTCACTAACAGTAGGGACTGGGACACCCTCTGCCATCTCCGGGCCTCAGCCTGTGGGCCTGTTAGAGGGGAGCAACGGTCTAAAGTAGTAGCCGCCACCCCGGGGCACAGACCTCGTACCAGGCCCAGCACACTCATTGCTCCTGCAGCCTGAGAGGAGACCCAGGCTCCGCCTTGCAGCACAGGGTGAAAGGCCCTTTGCCAAAAGAAATCCCTCCAACCCAAAGGAACGGGTTTCTGGGACTTTATTCCTTTTACCTGCCCAAAGTCACTCCCTCAGGAGACGTTGAACAGAGCCGTGGATGGGTGAACAGAAAAGGAGCTGCCATCTATTGAACACGCTCAGAGGACAGCAAAATGTCAGCCCTCCAGCCCCCAGGGAAGTAAGAATTACTGGACAAAGCACAGAGAAGTGACACCAGGGAGGCAATGTGAGGCCAGGGACCAGGCTTCCTCCGCTGTCCACGCGGCCCTGGGTACACACGCCCCCTCAGCCCCCGCCGGGCCTGGCTGCCTCCTTCCCCGGCAGCCCACAGAGGACATCGCCGAGGGGCGACCCAGAGGCAGGAAGGGCTCAGCGGGCATGTTTGTTTTTCCTTTTCGTGGAACAGAAGAGAAACCTGGGCTCAATTTTATGCTTTAAATCTAAGCTCAGTCCACAAACCTAAAACACACGCCCTGGACCCTGTCTCCTTCCCAAACAAGTTTAGAAACTCGAGCGCATGACCTCTGCAAGGGAAATGCTTTCTTGTGGTTTTTAATAAGCATGGCCAGATGGGGCTGGCTTGTGGTCCGCACGGGAGGACAGGCTAGGGCTGGGACTGTGAGTCCCGCCTCAGGCCCACGGAGGCTGGGGGGCGTCAGGAAGAGCCGTGGCAGCAGGCCCGCCTGAAACAGCTCGGAGGGCCCAGGAAGGAGCTGGCTGGGGGGACAGATGGCAGAGGGCCGGACTCAGCGGTCATGGGCTCAACCAGAAGAATTGATGGAAACGTCCTCCATGGTGTGTACAGGCATCTTCTGAAGAGAAAACAGCCTCAGAGGAGCCCAGGGTGGACCGATAAGCATCGCTGGCCCCGGGCCATTAGAAGCTTTCAGAAGCGGCCCGATCTCTCTAATCTCACAGCCTCGTGTTCACCCAGCGGGGCTGAGAGCCTGCGTCAGCTGAGAGCAGAGGGACAGGCAGAAAGGACAATGGGAGGAAACGGTAATTGCATCCTTAGGTGCAAACACGATGGGAAATTCAGCAGTGGGCTCGGATCTTAAAAGGGAGGGACAGCTGTATTTCACATCAGGGCATTCGGGAGACGCCAAGGAGCGGCTTATGGCTTAAGAGATTTACAACTTTGGCAAATCTAGATGCCCAGACCTCCCTCCAGGGGAATTCCCCGGAGAGTTGAGTGCTCAGGAGTCCTCGAGTGGAGGAACGACGCCCTCAGCTCTGCCGGAGCAAGGGCAGCCCACGCGGCAGGGCCGGCCCCGGGCCTGAGTCCCAGCCCTGGGTGCTGGGTCACCAAAAACCTCGCCTCCCAGGGCCCCAGGCTTCCCCTGTGAGGGGATCACACGAGATGACGGTGCTGTGGGCTGGATCGTGCCCACCAGAGTTCATACGTGGAGACCCTGGCCCCAGTGCCTCAGAATGTGACTGTATTGGAGACAGAACCTTTAAAGGGGTGATTCACTAAGTAAGCCCCTTAGGGTGGGCCCTGATCCGATCTGCCTGGTGTCCTTTTAAGAGGACATGTGGTCACACGGAGGGTACCAGGGCTGCATGCACAGAAGAAAGACCACATGCAGACACAGGCAGAAGGTGGCTGTCCTCTGAGGAAACCGACTCTGCCCACACCTGGATCTTGGACTTCCAGCATCCAGAACCGTGAGACAATATGAACTCCTGTGGTTCCAGGCGCCCCGGCCGTAGTGCTTTGCTATGCAGCCCTGGGAAACTAATACAAGGGGCCTCCAATGTCTTTTTAGATGCAAAGGCCTTTCTCCAAATGGCATCTCATGCAGAGAAGCCCTGTATAGGAAACATGAGGCAAAGCTGCTCTAGCCGACGGCTGTGCGGAGGCTGGTGCCACCTTTCTCCCTCCTCACCAGCCCTGGTGCCCCCAACTCCCCCGCCACCTGTGAGCCCCTAGGTCTCTAAGGTCCTGGGAGCAGGGGGCTGAATCAGGGGAGGGCTGTCAGAGCGCTGAGGCCCCTGCACTTTCTGGGCTTTGAGCAACAAGCTGTGATAGGCCTCTCCCTGGGACTGATAACTATTCCACTGCAACGGGGCGGTTGCCCTTCTGGGGACCGGACGACGCTGGGCCCCAGGAGAATCCTGCGCAGCCCGAGGGTCCGGGAGCCAGGAACAGCGGCCCGCCGGCTTGGGGTGCCAGGAAGCCCGGGAGAGGGGAGCCTGAGTGGACTTGCCCAGGGCTCAGGAGCGTCAGAGGAGGGGCTCGGCCCTGGCTACCCTGCTGTCGCCCTCCTCGGCGTCCTGGGAGCCGGGGGCCAGTGCCAGGGCCAACGGCCTCGTGGGCGTGCAGGTCAAAGAGCCCTGCCCAGGCGCCAGCGAGGACTGCTTCTCCCAGAGGAGGCCCCCCGGACGCTGCTGACCAGGAAACAGAACAAAGGGGGTGTCCGGGCCACAGCGCCTTCCAGGACTGGGCGTTGCGCAGCTCGGGAAAGGGGGCCCCGAGGGAGGATGGCACCGGCCCAGCCACGGCGCTGCCCCAGGCCCGGGGCTCGGCTGCCCCCTCCTCTCTGCCTGCTGCCGCGTCCCGGAGAGGCAGAGGCCCTGCTACTGTGCAGCTTAGCGGGCTGGGCCTTGAATCCGCACTCTCGCGCCCTGGCAGATATGCTGTGCCCCTACCTCCTGCGAGGCCAGGCCAGGTCATGTGGCCAAGAACCGCCACTTCTGTGTTACTGATGGGGAAACTGAGGCCCAGAAAGGAGAAGGGACTTGTGGTCTTACGTCCACACAGAGTCATGGTCCCCAGCACCAATATCACGGTGTGGCTGAAACACGTGACAGTCAGGCAGGCCGGGAGCCCTGAAACCCCACTCCCGACTGGGTGCAGCCTGACTCCCCACCCTGAAGCCGACCCACATGTGTTTGGACATTGGAATGAATGAATGCGCCAGAGCAATTCATTTGAACAATGTAGCTGTCCAAGTGGCCTAGAGACCCGGTTCCAACCTACGGTCATAGACATTCACCTAAAACCCAAGTCCGCGAGGTGGGTCAGTGGCCGGCCCAAACTTGGACTGGCCACATGGCCTCAGGCAAGTCCTTGCCTCTCTCTCAGCTGTGTCGTCATCTATAAAGCCAGAGGACTGGAGCCAGGGGACCCCGGGGACCTCCTGGGATATGCCTCTGATATTTAAAACATCTTGCCTCAAATAGGCAGTAACTGACCTGGGGAGGGCCCGATCAGCCCCCTCCCCTCCACCTGAGCGCTAGGACACCACGCCATCCCTCCAGGGCAGCTCCTGAGTGTCCTCCCAGCAGGCCCTCCCCCAGCTACGCACCGTCCACTGCACTGCACTCCCCGACCCCTGCAACAGCTCCTGAGACAGCCCCCCTCGTTCAGTGGGGCTTCTGCTCACGTCTGAGGACAACAGCGACAGCACAGCGGCAGCCGTGGGACAGCGAAGGGAACCTGGGCTTGGGAGTCGGGGAGCCCTGGACTCAGATCCAGCTGCTTGCTAGTGTCTCCCCTCCCCCAGCCTCGGTTTCTCCAGTTGCGACGTGGGTATGATGATGCCACCTACTATTACAGGTTGCTGTGAGAACTGGGCGAGATAAACTATATAAGGCGTTGGGTATTTGGTAAATATCACTTCCTTTTTCCTACAATAACAGCAATAATAACAACAACCAAGAAAACAATGAGAGGTCATGATTCCTGCAACCTCAACCTTTCATATCAGGGCCAAGAGCCCAGAGTAAACAGAGGCCTCCGAGCCCGTAGCCATGAGCCTCGGGAAGGGAGCTGGGTAGAGCGGATATTCACTTTTCCCAGGAAGGCCGCAAGGAAGTGGGCAATGAGTCAGGACACCTGGGGGTCAGGCCCCTCTGTCACCTGCACTGTGTGACCTTCAGCTAATTGCTTTCCATCTCTGAGCCTTGGGGATGTCATCCCTGATGGGGACAATATATAACCAGCACAAAGCATCGTTGCAATTCAAGGCCATAGAAGGGCCTGGAAAACTGCAGACAGCTCCACAGCAGCCAGAGGACAAGGTACTAGCTGGGCCTGGGAGGCAGAACAAGGCGCACGGAGGAGCGGGGAGAAAGCAGAGATGCCCAAGCCCTCCCCAAGCAGCCCTCCCCCTCCTCCCGTCCCACCACATGCCGGCACCTTCCTCCCCAACCAGACCTGTACCACTGTTCCCTGCCAACCCCGGCCATGGGTCTTGACCCCCTTTGTTCCCGCTGCCTGCCAGAGCCCTTCCCATAGAGCCCCCGGGACCCTGCTAACTGTCACTCCTCCATGGAGAGACACCTCCCTCACCCCAGGACAGATGTGCCCCATCTGTCCTTGGACGTCCCCTTCCTAGGAATGCCCACCAGCTGCCCTGCCCCTCCAGGAGCAGAGGCTTTGACGAAGTCGCTCTCTGGCTCCGCAGGGCCTGGGCGGGGCTCTGTGCCTGCAGGTGGGCAGCGAGCCTCTCCCTTTCGAGGGCCAGCCCACATCCGCCCTGCGGGAGGCTGCGGGACAGTGAGGGAACAGCCCCCCAAAGCCAGG